AGAATCTATTATATCTTAAGAAGCATAGGTGAGGTGAGCATGTTTAAGTCCCAATGGCAAAGAATGGAAAAGAGATATGAGTAATTAGAGACTAGGTTAGAGTCAGCAGGCAAATACATTGTAAAACTGAGATTTTCTAAAACTGCATGTTTTGTCTAAGGTACACTTATATAAACTTGCTTTCCCATGCATATAAAAATGTATACAGTGTAACCTTCACAAGGATATCTTCCTTGTTACCATCAAACTATTTTTTTCCATAGAAAATGCTGTGAGATAGGAGATAAACAACAGGGGGTTCCCATGCTACAAATGAATTTCCCCTTGTTCAGTTTGATTTATTTGTGTGAAACAATTTGTATTCTTACATTAAGCATATCTACACAAAGAGAGAAACATTACGAAAGAAACTTTTTTTTTTTGAGTTGGAGTCTCACTCTGTCACCCAGACTGGAGTGTAGTGGCCGCTCCTGGCCACCACAGCCTCAACCTGCTGGGCCCTGGCGATCCTTCCGCCTCAGCCTTCCGAGTAGCTGGGACTACAGGCGCGCGCTAACACGCCCGGCTAATTTTTGATTTATTGTAAAGATGAGGTCTCTCTAAGTTGCCCAGGCGGGTCTCGAACCCGTGGGCTCAGGCAATCCACTCACCTCAGCGTCGCAAAGGCGTGGGATTACAGGCTGAGCCACTGAGCCCAGCTACAAAATAAACTTTGAAATGATTTTTTTCCCCTTAAGCCTACACAAACTGATTTTTCTAAAACTTGAAGCAAAATGCTTGTGGTGATAATGTCTGCTACAAATAGAAGCTGAGGTAGTTTCCTGTACTTCAATCAGTCCATTCCAGCTGCCTGGAAACATGACTTTGTCCTCCAACATTGGACTATAAATCACCAAAGAATTCTGCATATGTCCTTGCAGTTGGGTTGTAACAAAACATGAACTCCTCTCTCCATAAATAAGTAGAACCATGTTGGTTGGAACAATGGAAGTATTGAACAAATGCAACATCCATTTATAATAAAAATTCTCAGTAAAGAATATAACTTCTTCAACCTGATAAGTGGTATCGACAACATGCCTACAGTGTGGTATCTACTTATTCTATAGTGAAAACCATGGCAATCAATAAATGGAAACAATAAATGGAGAAAATCTTTTCAAAAAATGGTATTGGAACAATTGGTAATCCAGGAGGAAAAAAAGGTGAAGCTTGACCTAAACTTCATGCTTTACGTGAAAATTCAATTAACATTGAAAATAAATTTGAAAGTAAAATGTAGAACTATAAAACTTTTAGTAGAAAATTCTTATGACTTGGCGTTATGCCCAAAGTTCCTAGATATGATACCAAAAGCACAATCCATAAAAGAAAAAAATGATAAATCAGGCTTTATTAAAGTTACAAACTTTTACTCTGTGAGAGATACTGTTTAAGATAATGAAAAAACAAACTACTAACTGGGAAAAAAAATTTGAAAATTACATATTTGACAAGGGATCTGTTTTGAGCCTATGGAAAGAACACCTAAACACCACCAATGAAGAGACAAACTACCTGATTTAAAAAACTGACAAAGGACTTGAATAGATACATCAGCAAGAAGGATACAAGAAAGACAATTATGCACATAAAGAGATGTTCAAAATAATTAATAATTAGAACATTGCAAACTAAAACCTTGATATACTACAGATGGCTAAAAAATATTGAAATACCAAGTACTAGTGTGAATAGAGAGCCACAGGATTCTCAGACATTGCTGGTAGGAATATATAATGGTAAAGCCGTTTAAAAAAAAGACAGTTTCTTATAAAATTAATGAACATTTACCATATGACACAGCAATCATAGTTTGTGGTATTTACCCTAGAGAAATGAAAATATAGTTCCAACAAAAAACCTCTGCATTAGTGTTTATAGCCTCTCTATTCAATTTTCAAAGATAGGAAATAAACTGTGGTATATTCATCCAATGCAATATTGCTTAGCAATAAAAAGCATAAACTAGGGCAACCCCTTTGGGTCCCCTCCCACTGTGAGAGCCTTTCTGTCTTCTCAATAAGTCCTACTTTGTCACTTAAAAAAAAAAAAAGCATAAACTATCCTTGCAACAATTTGGATGTATCTCAAAGAACTTAAGATAAGTAAGAAAAAAAAAAAGCCTCAAAAGTTTAAATACTGTATTATTCCATTTACATGGTATTCTCAAAAAGATGAAATGAGTGTGATACAGACAGATCATTGGCTGCTATGTGTGAGGTTTGAGGAGGATGTGCCTGTAAATACATAGCATGAGGGAGTTTCTTGAGGAGATGAAATTCTGCTCTATCAGATTGTGGTGGGAATTAGACACATTTATACTTGTATTTAAATTCATAGAACTGTATACCCAAAAAGGAAAAAGTAAATTTTACCATGATTTTAAAATCCATATACATTTCTCAATACTGGTAACGCTAAGTTAAAAATGTGGTTTACAAAGATCATTTACAAAATCAAGTAACTGGAACTATAACTAACAGAAATGTTCAAGTCTCTACAAAATTTTTTTGTTCAAGATATTATATGAAAGAGCAAAAGACAAACATGGCAGAACATCTGAAAGGAAGAGAATCCTATTGTGAGTTAATATAGTAGATATCGATATTTATTATAAACTTAAGGAAATGAAAACAAATATGGCCTCAGTTGGACTCACAACCAGACAAATATATCAGAATAAGAAAATGGTGAGGCCTGATAAAGATCCATGATATGGAAACTTGATTTAAGATGACATGGGCAATACAAGTATCAAAACAATTGTTTATGCACAGGGACATACATAAAATTGAATCCCTACCACACACCACACATTAAAGCCATTTTCAGACATAAATATGAAGGGAAAATTTAGGGAAAAAATAAAAAGACAATTAGGAGAATATTTTTATCATGTTGGGATAAGAAATGATTACTTGAATAAGACTTTTAAAAGTGCAAACAGTAAATGGTAATATGATTAAATGTGATTACATTAAACTTAATAAATGTGTTCAGCAAAACAACAAAGATGATTTTGACAAACCATCATCTTGTGAATCAACAGACAATAATTATCAGTCCAATAGAAAAACAGGAAAAATCATGACCAGACACATCACCAAAAATAAGCACAAGTGACTAAAAGAAGATGAAAAAGATTCCACCTCTATTAATAACACAGGAAATGTCATCTAATACCTAACTTCTTGAAAAACATCGAAGTCTCACAATATCAAGTGTTTATAAAACAATATAGTGCAATAGAAACTTTCATTCACTGGTGGTAAGAATGTAAGATTGTACAAGAGTGAGTCCAAACCTAGTAAAATTGAAAATGCATATACTTAATAACCTTGTTCTTCCACAAGTGTTAACTTTTACCCACGATCACAAAGTGTAAGCATGTTTGTAATAACATTGTTAATAGCACAAAAATATATATAACAAAATAAAACTGGAAGCAACCCACATTTACACCTATAGAAGAATTAATACAATGCATAATGTTCATATATAATGAGATATTATACACATAAAGAAAAAGAACTTCATCTATTTACTTATTTTTGAGTTGGAGTCTCACTCTGTCACCTAGACTGGAGTGCAGTGACACGCTCTCGGCCACCGCAGCCTCAACCTGCTGAGCTCTGATGATCCTTCCACCTCAGCTTTCCAAGTAGCTGGAACTACAGACGCGCACTACCACACCCAGCTAATTTTTTTCATTTATTGTAGAGATGAGGTCTCACCAAGTTGCCCAGGCAGGTATCGAACCTGCTGGCTCAGGCAATTCACTCACCTCGGCCTCCCAAAGCGTGGGATTATGGGTTTAGCCACCCAGCTCGGCCAGTTATTTATATTAATAGAGGTGAATCAGAGCCTCAGGGATAAGGGCCCAGTAACCTTGATTGTAAATCAGACTCCCTACTGAAGATTCGGTATCTATAAAAGCCTTGTCAGCAGGCAAATTACTGCCTCTATGATATAGCTAAGTGTAAGAGTGTTAAAAACTGAATTTCCATGGTTTTGAAACACTGTGTGGAAGAGTAATCAAATGGATCAGTGAAGAATAATAATTGAATTTCCTCCAACTTGCACAGTCTTTCTTAATACTTATAAAAATTCTGGTCATTGACATTCAATCAATCTCTAGATTTAGAAACATGAAGCATAGTATTTTAAAATGTGTTTAAGTGTCTGGCATTGTCTCAAGAAATTAGTTTTTCTACTCATTACATTTTCCAGGTAGGTGAATTTTAACTACCTAACCTTTCTGGATGACACAAAGCCAGTATTATGAATATTAGTAGAGCTTGAGGGAGAAATAAATTAACACAAAGATGCTACTTAATCCATTTATGCTTTCATTCATGCAACAACAGGAACAACAAAAGAAACACATGATCACTTGCCTTCTGTGGACTATCATCTAAGTCAAAAGTCCTGTTTTTGCTGGAATATCTTGTTAGTAATGAAGCATTCTGTTAAAATAGTATATAGCAATATGTTAAAATGAATGAAATCGATTTATATTAGCATGAAATAAATAATGAAAACAATGTTATGGAAAAAATAAGTTACATAATGATGCATAACATTGTTATTCATATATATTTAAAACCCATGTGTATAAACACATACAAAAATATTGAGAGAAAACTCACCAAATTCATTGTAGTGGTTACTTCATAGTAGGTAGAAAAAAGGGAATGGAGATAAGGGGTAAGTGAAATCAAATGTCCTAATAATGTTTATTTGTAAAAAAACAACTTGAAAAGATGACAAAATATTTCATGGTACATTCTTGTGATTTTTCTGGGAATTTGATATATTATTCTCTGGTCCTCTTAGTGGTAATTTAAACTTTTACTTCATAAAAAAGTTGAAAAAAGGAAATAAATTTACCTTATCACTTGGTGCTTATTTGATCATTCTGGGTAGGCAGTGAATTTAAACTTTGCTTCTCTTTGTAGGTAAATGTCACTCGTGAAGACTCACCAAATGAAGACCCAGTCTTTCTTAGAACTTTAGGAAAAGGAGACTGGTTTGGAGAGAAAGCCTTGCAAGGGTAAGTAGAGCACATATTACACAGTATTTGTGTGGGTACTACATATTTTACTGTCTTAAATTCTGAGCTCTTAGAAAAATAGTCTTTTTATTTAGTGCTTATCCTTATATCAGTTACAAATCCTTGATAATTATTTTTATTTATTTTCAGACGAACTTGTAATCCATTTAAATAGGACACTGGACTAATTAGTTAATTTCTAATAAAACATTGTTAAATTAATTGAAAATTTTCAACTTTATGTTCCTTAACTGCAACTTCTTTAATAAGTTGAAAAGAAAGAGACAGACATCTCTGCTAAACTTACTTTGTACAACAGTTTTATTCTGGATCCTAGGAAGATAGTTGGTTGAGAATTCTGAAATCCCTAAACCTGTTTGTTCAAACAGTGGATCAGAAGGCAGGGAAGCCTTTTCAGGGATCACCATTGGGTGGTGGTGGTTTTATGGTTGTTATGGTGGTGGAGATGGCAGAGGAGGTGGACGTGGGGATAATGCACATCAGGATTCACTATGGAGGGGCTCTGAAGGCTGGACTAGGAGAGGTGTACTTCAGCGTGACTGATATTCTATTTCCAAACTATTATAAGACATCAAGAAGCAAGCACTTGGGATTTTTTCCCATATATTTTAGAAGAAAAATTGGGTTGACTTTGCACCATGCATTTTACAGAATGTATGAGAATTAGGGGCAACCACTTTGGGTCTCCTCCCACTGTGGGAGCTTTTCTGTCTTCTTAATAAATCCAGCTTTAAAAAAAAGAAAAAAGAAAGAAAGAAAATTATTTTGGGGTAGTCTACTTTCATTTTTCAATGAGCTATATGACTCAATTATTAAATATAGAGAACACTTTTCAAAGGTCAGTGCTGTGTGTATATATATATCACTTAAATAAAAATTAAACAATAAACATTTATTTTTGTATCAAATTTCAGGTACAGGAGTGTCATAATTTGCTTAGGGTATAATTAGGCAATAGGTCATAATTTGCTTCTATAATATGGGACCAATCAGTTTTGTTTCCATTTCAAAATGTGCCTTCCTTTAAAAAATTACATTATGAGCCTTTTACTTAAAAGTGTATTGAAAAAATAATTTAGAGAGATTTTCTTTTTTAAGCCGCAATCAGATGTCAGGTTTTATTTTCTTTGCTACTATTTCACAGCTACAGAAATGAAACAAAGATATCTTGATAAGTCATCTTATTCAGGTCATATTACCTTATGAAAATTCAGAACTAACTGCACTCAGTTTTCCTTTTTTCTTTTATTTAGTTCATTTGATCTTTATCTGAACATTCACTTGCCATTAGATTTTTTTTCAATGTCAAAGTTGGAAGAAATTGCATGTTTGCTATAGGTCCACAGAAGAATGCAATAAACTTTATTTTTCTAGTATGAGCTGCACAATTTACTGCATGTTATCTGAACCTTAATGTTTCATTCCACTGGTTATTAAATATGTAGAGGATTCCCTAGAATGACTCCAATTATCTTCACTGGTCCAAAATTAAATGCCTCTGTAGAAAACAATGTCATTTCTGAAAGACTTAAAGAACCAGAAATGCTTATAATCATTCCACAATTGGAATGCCAGAAAATAAGGCATCATTAAGAGTCAATAGATTTTCTTTTACAGTTTATAGTCACTACATTTTTGTTAAAATTACATAAAACTTTCATGGTGAAAATATTTTTCTGCAATGAAAATGAAATGACCCAAGAAATGACCTTGAGTATGTAGTTCATGCAAAAGTTGCCAAATTTTGCTCTAATATCAAAACTTTAGTTAATGGCCCTCTAGCTAGATTGAATCCCTTCTAGCCTGGGTATTCTTTTGAACTGGTTTGGGCTAAAACTTGCTTCTGCACATACTTAGTCCCTTTCACTGGTCATCTTCTGTAGCCAAAAAATAATCAACCTACTTCCCTTCACATTCATGCTTCATATCACCCCATCTCTTTCTTATGCCTTTCATCTTGTCTTTCTCATGACTGTACCTGGTTTTATTAGTCTACTCAAAGTGCTCTCTTTAATGTCACTAAAAATTTGCTACTTGCCTCTTAGAATAGTCTCATTTTTTTGTCTTCATTTGTCTTCACTTCTCAGCAACAATTTTACACTGCTTACTACCCCTTTCTTCCTTAAATTCTTCATCCCTTGACATGCTTTAGATTTTTAAAATTTCATTTCCTAAGATTCACCAATACGTAGTCCTTACTGTTTTATTTATGTCTTGGTAATCTCCTCCAGATCTATGATTGCGTTGCGTAGTACCTCAATGAAAAGAAGTCCCACATATTTCTATTTTATGATTTGAACCCAGCATCTGGCACTATCAGATACTCTACATATTTGTTGAATGAATAAATGAGTGAATAAATAAATGAATGAGCAACTGGACCTCTCTAATGATGGCCAATCTTGGAATCCCTTCTGCCTTTGATCGCCTTCACCACTTGAATGTGTTTGGCAGTGCACAGGGGTTACGAGCTCACTTGACCGTAGGGAGCAGGCTAGTGACGTAAATGAGTAAAGTGGCTGTGAAAAGCTGGTGGTGGCCGGGCTCGGTCACTCAGCCTGTAATCCTGCGCTTTGGGAGGCCGAGGTGAGTGAATTGCCTGAGCCCGCGGGTTCGAGACCCGCCTGGGCAACTTGGCGAGACCTCATCTCTACAATAAATCCAAAAAAAAAAAAATTAGCCGGGCATGGTAGCGCGCGCCTGTAGTTCCAGCTACTTGGAAGGCTGAGGCGGAAGGATCACTGGAATCCAGCAGGTCGAGGCTGCGGTGGCTGGAAGCAGCCACTGCACTCCAGTCTGGGTGATAGAGTGAGACTCCAACTCAAAAAAAAAAAAAGAAAAGAAAAGAAAAGAAAAGAAAAGCAGGTGGTTGAACACTAAAGCCTTATGTCAGGAGAACTGCCATGATTGAACTCCGGCTTGTTGCCACTAGTAAGAACGTGACCCCAGCTTTTCAAGAAAGCAGAACAAACTAGGTTTTAAAAATATAAGATGTGATTTTGCAATTTGATTAAAAATTGCAAGAAAGCCAACATTATGTCTGCAAAGGATTCTATGGGCTGCCATTTTGTGATTTCTGTCACTCAAATATACCTATTTACAAAGTATATAATTAATTTCATATGAAAGAAGCCTAGTAAGTTAACCCATGTTGATTCTTTTCCTGTTTTGATCTTTTTGGCATTTTAACATTTTGATTTTCTGTCTATAACTCTCTCTTTTTTTTTCACTCCGAGTCTATGTTCTTTTTTATCTTTTCTTTGAATTTCAATGTTTCACGCAAGAAATTCCAACTCTTCACAAATCAAATTGATTTGTTTCACTTGTTTCTTTCTAAGTAACTCAGAAATGGACATAACTTTGATTGAAAAATCTTTTGGGCAACCGTGTATCCTTTGGGTAATAGCTATGGCTGTTTGCAAAATATATGATTTTTTTTATACTGGAATAAAAATTTATAGTTGGCATTCTCTATGTGTACATAACACAGCATTTTAGATTGTGATTTTCTCATAAATAAAAATTGTATGTATGGGAAATTTTTGTTTTATTCTCCTAAGGTTGTTCAGAAAGTCTTTAAAATATAGATAAATTCATGATTGGAGACAGGGGAAATGAATATATTCTTGACTATTCTTTTTCCTATTCTTTTTCTTTTCTCTTTTTTTTTTTTTTTTTTTTGGAGTTGGAATCTCACTCTTGACACCCAGGTTGGAGTGCAATAGCACACTCAACTATTCTTTTTCAATCTAAGAGTGCCTAAATACTAGCACTGATTAAGCACATAGTTGAAAATTGAATGTCATTGTTGAAATGTAGACTCATAGCCTAACTTTAGAACTCAGCCTCCTGACTATTATACAGTTCTGCCTCTAGAAGTAACAAGCTTTATTTCCTTAGTGGGTGGAGGCAGTAGAGTCATAATAAAGCCATATTATAAACTATATTATTAACATTCATTAACCGATAGCATCTCATTGCTAGAAAAATTGGAGTCATTTCTTCCACTTTGGTTGGCATAAATCAAATTATGTGGTATTGTTTGACTTAAGCATCTTTTTTTTCTTGGGATAATTGTCCACACTACAGAGAGGGAAAAATGTCATACTTTTTTACAGTCAAGTACTCCCTATAGATATGAAAACTAAAGTTGTATTTAATAGAAATTGCTTTAAGTTTAGTTCAATAACTCATTTACACTTTGAATTACTATTGTTTCAAGATCCCTACCTGAGTTGAAACCATATGGAATACATGTCAGCATTAGATGATGGCAAATTATAAGCTAAACATTCATTCTGCTTCTCCAGTAATGGGAAATATGTAAGACCAAGTTGAACCCAAAAGCGATGATACTGAGCTCTCATTCACCACCTCCCCCACCTTTCCCTTGACATTTGAATCTTTAACACAGCATAGGATTAAGAGTTCCAGCTCAAAAGTCAGATTGCCTGGGTTGGAATCTACTCTTTTGTATATTAGTTATTAGACCCCGAGAGGATTTCCTTTTATCTGAAGTGGAGATTATTATTGTACTTAACTTTTTGGGTTGTTGTGAAGGGATACTTACATAGCATTTCAGTGAGTGCCTAGAATTTAGCTTAGTGCCTCTCCAAAGCTGTCATCATCACTACTGTCATCATCTGCACTTTCATTGTCATCCTCATCATCACTTCATCATCCACATTCCCAGGAATGTTCCGCTTTTTCTTGAATAAAACTTAGAAAATATAGTATAATCACTAGATTGTGGGTCAACCACGCAAAATCTATGTAACCAGTGGTTATATAACTTTGAACAAACCAGTTAACTTCTCTTCATCTCCACCCTGAATCTGTCACCAGAGTCAATTGAAATAAGTGATCTCTAAGTTTCCTTAGATCATAGTTTCTAATTCTCTAAGATTTGGCCTCTTTACAACTGGGCAGACCCCTGAATGCCAAATATAGCCCCAATATTCCCTGTTAAATGGTGTCTT